GGTATCGATCTCCCTGCCCTTCCCCTTCCCCCCTTTGGCAGCCTCCCTCTTTTCCTCAGCCCTCTTATGCGCCCATTCCCTCTTTGCCTTCACGGCTTTGTCCTCAGCAAGCGTAAGGTCTATGGCCTTCAGCGGCTTCGACGTTGACGCTGAGGCTTTTGGCTTTGGCTTTGGCCACGACGACGACGACCACAACCTCGTCCACGCCTGCTGGGTCCTCTTCAATTCGATCAGATGTTGACGTTTACGGTATTTGCTCCGCTCCAAAGTACTCAGCAGCTTCCGGAAGTACCGGACCATCCGAAACTATTTGTCAAAAAGAGAATCAATCATTGTGGAACACAAGCCAAGCTGAAGATTAACGGCTTTTTGAACGTCCCCCTCCCCGGAGACGTCAAAAACGGCTTTATCTTCAGCTTGGGTAACTGGAATGCGTTGAATGACAAACAAGTACTCACGTCGTCCTTGTTCAGAGTCAGACCCTTTGCATGCCGTTGTTGCATGATGGAGTCTGAGAAGAGGGCGCTGATGTACGTCTCAGCGGCCTCCTGCAGGGCATCGACTGCCTCTTGGTACCAGCGATGCCTTTCAGAGAACGGCGTCGCCTCCGGGGTTGTCGCGATGCTCTGATTGTGAGCCCGGGACACTTCATAGTCGATCTCCTCTATCAACTTCCTGAAGGGCAACTTCAGGATCACCGACCCATATGTATGGGCATAGTGTTTGATCTCGGCCTCTGCCGACTCGCCCGACCGATATCCGCCCCTTCTTCGTCGCAGAGTCAGCGCCTTCGGGAACGTGGACTTTGGTGGATAACCAACCTGACGTACCAAGCTGAAGATTAGTGCCATTTTGAACCCTCTCCAGACCGGGGACGGCGAAAATCAAGGTTCTCTCAGCTTGTTCAAAACCCACCTTCCAAGTTCCTGTGACATTATCAATTCTAGATTGGGGAATTAATGCAGGTCGATCTGGGCGATTTGGAAGACGGCGTGGAGCATCCAAGGCCAGTTTCCTGGCAGAACCGGGCGGGGCAGGGGGTCGTGGGTTGACCATATTCTGATGTTAATTGAGAAAAGGAAAGAAGAGGCCAACGATCGGAATATATTCAAAAATGGTATGATATGGAACATATTATTCATCGGCTTCAGCATCCTTGGTCCTCTTCCGGCTATAGTATTCGGCCATTTGCTTCCGCCATTCCTTCATCTGCTCCGTATTTTCGAAGATGTCCTCAGCCTCATCGATAACCTCGGACGAAGGGTTACGCATTCCCTCAACAACCGTGTCCTGGAAGGACAACCATGGCTGGGAGTAGTCGCCTGGGGAGGGGGCGGTGGCTGCGGCGGTTGCGGTTGGGCCGATTGGCGGTGGCGGAAAGATGGGAGCATCCCATGTCTGATGGATGCTGTGTGCGATGGAGGCGCCTTTGCAGAGATGGCCAAGGGGGCATAGTGCGGTGTCGTCCCATGCTGGCAACATCCAATCCCTCAGCCTCTCTGCGTCCAATGGGTGGATCCTCAAGCAATCTGAAAGAAGAACACGGTTATTGTTATTGCCCTTCAACGCAGCAACAAAACAAAGACAAGCTGAGGTTTATGCGATTTTTCGACGCGCGCACGCCGGGGACGTCGAAAAACGCATTAACCCTCAGCTTCTCGAGAAGATACAAACCCCCGACCCAATCCTTCCTCAGCATCACCCCGTTGACCTGCTTCCCCTCGTGGTAGATGCGCGCCTCTGAATGCACTCGACAGAGGCTGAAGGCCGCCGCCGAGCGGGCACGCCTCTGCAGCGTCCTGATGTGCCTCGATTGGTCGAGTGACCACCAGTAAAACTCGACCTGGTGGCCATCGACCATGCGGGTAACGATCACTGGGTCGTAGAGGATCCAGAGGTAACGGAAGACGGCGATCGTCGTCTCCGTCTCCTCCTGCCCCATCTGCCAGTGCATTTCTGACAGGTCGTACATGGCCATCCCCATATCCCCCTCCCCGTTGTCGTTGGGTCCCCGTCCCGTCGCCGAAGAAGAAGAAGCCATACTCACTTATGATGAGGGCAGGGTGTGTTGGTATACCTAAACTTTCGAACAAACGTCAGTCACGTCAGTCAAGCTGTCGAAACTCCGACAAGCTGAGAATAACGCCGTTTTTCGACGCTTTCCAGCCCTTCTGGTTCAAAAACACAATAATCCTCAGCTTACTTACAGTGCGTGGCGTTGCAAGGAGAGAAGAGAGACGGGGTGATGTGTGTGTGATGTGTTGAAGATGGCGTAAAAGTGCTGTGGAAAGCATAGGGAAAACGTGAGGGGGAGCGTCTGCAGGCTGTGTTATATATGACATCCTTTAATTGGGGGAGTGTGTGGAAGCTATTCATGAGGCTAATCTGTTGCCATAAAAAATGAAAAATCGATTCCCCTAATCAATTGTTAAGTGTTATCATCAAAATCGAATTCTCTGTTAAATTGCGCGCATTGACGCGTCCATTCATATGGGATCATATGTGGTGTACTATGGGAAGCGTGTACTGTGAAGGCCAGTAACGCAAGACCAGTAACGCTTCTAGTAACGCAGTGTGACTCACACACATCGCGCTCACGCGCATTTCATTGTACCTACTACTAGGGCTTGTGCCCGCCGCTACGCCGCGGATTTAAATATATTCACAATGTAATAGTCAGAACTAATCACAACAAAACTTCCTGATAGACTACATTACGGGTGCAATTCTGCAAGTGGGGAGAGGTACGGGGCGTAACTGGGAGCACACGCAATCCTTGAGCAGATGTTGTCCGGGAGACAGCAACGTACAGCTGCCCATGGGTGAAAACAGGAGTTGGGAGATAGATTCCCACCCTCGCCAGGGTTTGGCCTTGGGATTTGTTGATGGTCATGGCGAATGCTAACTGCACAGGGAATTGGCGTCGCTGTAGTGTGAATGGGAGTATTTTGGTTGCAGGCGCCAATGTAATCCTTGGGATGAACACCACATGACCAACATGGGTGCCAGTGATGATCTCAGCTTCAATAACCCTCTGGCCGAGGCGCCGGACTTCCAGCCGGGTGCCATTGCAAAGTCCTGCAGCCTGGTTGAGGTTGCGGAGGAGGATGATCGGGGCGCCAACCTTAAGCTGCAGACAATGGGCAGGTAATCCAGGGAGGGTGACCGTATTGAGGAACTCGACAGGGTATAAGGCTTCATGATTTTCCGGGCACTCCGGGCCGCTTGAAGGGACGGTGTCCGCACTGAAGTATTCTTGAAGGTCTCCTTCCGTTCTGTGCAGCATGGATGTGTTAACAGCGTGCACATCTTCATTCCTTGGGGACAGAATCGCCCTGTCTGTCCAGTACGTAGGAGATTCCTTTGAAGGCAGGTCACCATAGACATAGTGCAGAAGCCCGTCCAGAGTTCTGCCAGTCTCTGATAACAACACCTCCTCCGGGAGCAAAATCTAGTCATCCTCATGATCACCTTTCACAGGCTGTGCGGGTATCTTGCCATCCCCTATATCCAGAATCCACTGTGGGAATGCTTTGGAAAAATCTGTTTCGTTGGCGTGAGCTGTTGAAGCGATGCGCATGTTTTGCGTCAACGTGAAGACCTGGACAGTGTGCCAGAAGTTGGATCGTTGCACACTTGCTCCTACAGTTTCTTCACACCCGCCCTTGTAGATGACAGGGGGAATCTGGCGAAAGTCTCCCCCAAGCAGAACAACCTTCCCGCCCATAGATGCACTGCACTTGGTGATGTCTTGCAAGGTTCGTGAAACAGCTTCCAAAGCGTGCTTGTGCATCATGGGTGCCTCGTCCCAGACTATGAGCTCCGCCTCCCTTATCAATTCCGCATGATCAGATCGTGGGGAGATAGAGCAGGTAGATGTTTCCGTCAGGTCGATTGGGATCTTAAACCGGGAGTGAGCAGTTCTACCCCCGTCCAGAAGCAGCGCAGCAATTCCTGACGACGCAACAGCAAGAACGATCTTGTTTTGGCTGCGAAGATTTGCGATGATTGTCTGGTACAGGAATGTCTTGCCAGTGCCCCCACTGCCATTGACAAAGAATATGTTTGGGGCTTTCTGCGTTACGGCGGAGGTGACATCGTTGAAAATTCTAGTTTGTGCCTCGTTGAGACATGGGATGGCCGTCTCAGCAAAGGCGGCCAGTTGCAGAATGTCGTACAATGTTTCCTCTTGTATCACCCTTGCAATTCTCCTACCCAGCATGGGTTGTCCTGTGAGTTTCGGGAGGGTTGGGAAGTCGCCAAGGTTCTTGCCGTTGCGTCGCAGTGTGCGATCCAGGTCAGCCAGAGCTTCATTCTCAATCTCTGGTGCTGTTATGGACCTGAATGCATATCCAGGGAGGAGGCGTATACGGTGTTCAATGTCGTCGCTGAGGTCCATCAAGAACTCTGCCCAGAGTTTTCCTGGTTGTGATACTTCGTTGAAGAGTAAGATTGCTGCGAAGAGCTCACGCAAACGGGCCCCTGATGCCCATGTGGCAGCTTCTCGTAAGGCATCAGCCCACTCCCGGTCATCTTGCAGCAGGCCTCTCGCTCGACAGGCATCTTTGAACGTGGAGTAGAGTTGTCCGTGCATACTGCGGAGATTCTCAAAGGAAGTAGCTCCCGGAACGTTGTTGAGAAGCAAGCGCAGGTAATATCGCTCCCCAGACGTTGGATGGGCAAAGTAAAGCCTGCCAATGGCAATGCCCTGCTTGCGGGGGTGCCATCTCTTGGCCTGCGCATCCCAGGTGTAATTCTGGGGAAAGTTAGGGTACGTTATGGTGCGATGTGCATTGTCCCCTTCAGCAGGAGTAGAATTGTAGGTAAACCATTCGGTCAGCGTGGTCTTCGCTGTAGCTGCACGGGCAAGGATGTCGTCTAACTGGTCGTCCTCAGTGAAGACAACATGGTGCTGCCCCGGTAAGTGCACTTGCAATCGCATCACTGCAGGATGTCGTCCATGCATCGGAAACTTGAACAGATGCCATGAGGCTTCCGCAGCTGAGACGTATCGTGAGTCAATGAACTGTTCAAGTTCATCAATGGGCTCTGGCGCTGAGGGCTCAGAGGTGTTCTCGGGATCAACACGCCTCTTCTTCTTCTTTGGGTTGGATGATTGAGAGAGGACCACCGTTGCCTTGTCATGGCCCTTGTATATGTATGTGAACAGGTATTTGACAGCAGTGATCTGGGTACATATCTCCACATTGATGTGTGCGTCGTACCTCTCCAGGAGATACTTGTTGTGTGGGACCACCCAAGAGTTGTTGAGTTCAACACCTTGGACCTTCACAGTGCGACCATTGTCCCTGCGCCGATACAAAGGGTATCCATTCACGTCGTTTGATGTTTCTTCCCTCAAAACCCTTGGATAGCGCTTTGAACACTTTCCTTCCTCCATGCAGGGTGCGTGTGGATTGGCGGGACCACACGGGCCGTGCATCATCAAGGAGGCAACCCTGTGATAGTAGGCAGGAGAAGCGTCAGGTTCCGGTATCTCTGCGGACACAAATCTGTCCACATCCGCAGGTGTCACTGGTTGAGCATCCTTGTGAAGGGTGATCAAGATGTGTGCATGAGGTAAGCCACGCTTCTGGAACTCGATCGTGTGGATGTCTGCAATGTGTAGACCGAAGATGTTCTTCTTTGTGAGGTCCTCCATCAACTTCTCTTGCTTCATTCGGAAGACCCGTGCGGTAAGGTCTGGCCTGTCGATATTTGTCTGTCCTTCCAACAGGGCGTCCTTAATTTCAGGCCATTGAGCGTTGCAGGTGAACGTTATCAGCAACGTTGGCTTCCCACCCCAGCGTACTATGGCCATGGCATCTTGATAACTCTGCATCATCTGGCGTGGGCTGCCTTGGAAAGAAGAAGGCAGCACAATACGCTTGCCAAGGTTGGCAATGTTTGTTTCCCCGGATTCAAAGGCATCCTCAAGTCCTTGGTACAGATCAGCCCTTATGGTAGTCTGATTGTTGCGAATCCAGTTCAAGCGTCCCTGCTCGACAATCGCATAAGCATCCACAATGAATTGTTCCAGAAGTCGTCCACCACGGAGCAGAGCTATTCCATCTGCAACTCGGCGTTGCAACCGGTAGGAATAGAACTCCGTAGCGGAAACGGTCCGTCGTTCCTTGCCTTTGCGACCTGGTGTTTTCTCACCCTGGCGGGGGCCAGGGGTTGAGTTTCGGAGAGGAATCAAGTGGTGCCATCCGTCTTCTCCGTGTGGAAAGAGCAACGGATATTGCAGGGGCATGTAGGCAGGGTGGCGCTCGGAAATCTCTTGTAGACCTCCTCCCTGCTTCTGAACAATGACTTGTCTTTTGGACACTGCCTCTGCACCATCTCCAACCATGATGGCGGCAACCTCGTCTGCAGTTGGGCAATTGTATCTTCGGCTGTCTGTTGTGCGCTCCAGAACTATCCTCATGGAGATATCGATGGCAGGATTTTCCGCAAGGATGTTGCGGACGGATCGGTAGACATGTGCGTATGGGTTCACCTCATAAAGCATGTGTTGTAGTTCACCGATGATGTTGATGTCTGGTTTCTTTCCATCAAAGTGGCTGGCACGGTTTTCAGCTTCATGTTCTGTGTCGTAGATGTACATCTGTGCAAAGCGTGGTCGCTTCCCTGTTGCAATCTGTTGTTCGGATGGGAGAAGGCTTCCGATGTGGTGACATATCTGACCATGAACGCGGAAGGAGTACACTCCTTGGGTGCCGGTGACGCTCAAGTCAATGTCCGCACCAAGAGAGGTCCAAGCCAAGGATGAGTTGTATGAGCGTATGGCTTCCCGAAACTTCTTTGCGTGTGGTGAATTGGATGTCAGGAGATCACATAATGTTGCGGGAGTCGTCGGGAGTGGTGGTAAGAGGACTGTGCCTCTTTCACAGCAAAGGGAGAACTTGGGGTGTGCTTTTGAGGATGTCGCACAGCGCTCCAAGATCCACATGTGTGCGCCACAATCGATGCAGACAGTGTCGCAGCTCCCAGCTGACCAATAATCGGTAATCAAGGTCGGGCGCAGAGCTGGTGGCAATGGCATGGGTTTTGCTGGTCGCTCTTGTCGCCTTTGACTCTGCAGTTGAGTTTGCCGACGTGTGGTGTGTTTGAAGACATCGCTTAAATGTGTGAGGAGGCGATCCATGCATTGCCAGATGTATTTGAGACGTTCCTGTGATAGTGTGGGTGTGGTCGATGCCTGTAGACTGGCACGGGCTGCCGCAACAACATCACCACCATGCTGGATCAGAAGTTCTTGCCAAAGGAGGGTGATGCGGTCTTGAACGTTTGAATGCAGGTGTGGACTTGAGGACACAAGAGTGCGGGCAGAAGAAGGTGTACTGATGAACATGAAGTATTGAATAGAATTGGAAAGAAATACATGGATCAATCTAATGCTCTACATCAGGTCTAACTGGTATGACATGAAGGCGTCCACATCCAACATCAACTTTTGCGACGCCAGCAGCCTCTCAGTGATGCGGTTCTCATAAACCTTCCGCAAGACAGCTGGGAGGACTTCGACCTCAGTTTTATGGACAGTCGCAGATGTCCAGCCGTCTAACTCTTCAGGCATGTAAACCCGGAAGGTGATAGCCCCCAGTGGTAAGACGTATTCCCAACCAAGGTGCTTGTCGAAAAACCACATCCCACCATTTTCATCTAACATCTCCCACCCCACCTCACTGTCTACCCAAGACGGATGTTTGGCCGTGATGACAATGTCCGTGCTTGCCACACTGAGTACACACCTCAGAATGGGACCTGCATCAAATAGGCGACGGAAGTGGAGGGGGTCCTCATCTGGAGTGCTGTCGATACGTCTCTCGGGAAGGGGGTCAAGCGTCCAGGTTGCGGCAGGCATCTATCAAATGGAATCCAGTCAATGCATTGAACAGTTGTAATTCACACAATCATATTTATTTTAGGAGAACTTCACACGTACATGGCCATTATTGTTTGCTTTGATGTAGTCAAGACAGAGACCTCTCGTAATATCAGCTAAGTCGGTCTTCTGCTTAGGTTTGAGGGCAAGGGGGGTCTGTTTGAGCAGAACAGCTCCAATCTGGCGAAGCGTGTACCACAGGTCATTGTCGTTCTCAGCCGCCTTGCAGAGTTCCAGGAGGGATTGGCCAAACTCAGACTTGGGATCGAAGAGTTGCTTGTCCGACATTTCGGAAGACTCGGGAGGTCTGGGTGGCACTGTTGACAGCTGTATGTTCAGTCGATGAGGCCGCAGGGGTCGCCGCAGTTGTCGGGCTGGATTCAGTGGTGGTCGATGTGGTGATGGTACTGACAGAGGGCATATGCTGAGTAGTCTTGTTGGAGGGTGCATTGCGACGACGGGTCTTGGCAGGACGGGCAGGTGCGGTGGCAGTGGATGTTGGGCTGGTGGGAACTTTGCTGACAGGGCGAGGCGGGACAGAAGTTCCTGAAGAGGAGGCTGCAGGATCGGTGGTGGCAGAGAGTTTACGCTTGCGAACAGGCATAGGTCGGGTAGGCGAGGTAGGAGTAATGGGTGAGGTAGGAGTAATGGGCGAGGTAGGCAGGGTGGAACTATGTCGACGAACAGCATTGGCTTGGTCAGGGGTAAGCGACGGCGTAGGCATGATGGTGTTGGTGAGGGTGTTGGCAGCAGGATGATGGTCTGGGGTGCGGGGCGGGTTGGTGGTAATAGCAGGATTGGCGCTGGTGTGGTGATCTTTCGGAACGGGTGTGTTGGCGGATTTGACAGTGTCGGGAACGGTGATGTCAGCACTGTCAACAGTCATTCCGACAGGTGACAGTCGATTGGGAGGTCGAAGGTGGGCTGTCTGCGGAGGGCGATAGAAGTCTCCTTTGGTGGTAGGAATGGTGGGCGAGGGAGATTTGCATCTTTTGGGCATGGTGGAGGCTCTATGTGAAGAACAGAAAATATTAGCAAAAATATCCATCATTCGCATATGTCAATTCAAACACACACACACACACGTACACACACGCACACAGACAGAAACAGACATACCTGGAGGTGTGGGCAATGGAGAGGAAGATGGGTGGGAAGGTGATGTTGGTGGATGTAGAAAGGGAGGGGGGGAAGGTGGAGAGACAGTCTCCTTTTATACATTTTCAAAGTTATAGTACAGAGGGGGGGGGGGGGGGGGGGTACACTACACACAGGGGAGCTTCATGAAGGGAACTGCTTGGTCAAACTCCTGTTTGGTCTGCACTGGCTCCAGTGCCTGTGAGAAAAGAGAAAAAGAGTGAAACATGATCAGGATCAAAAAAAAGTTTGCACCAGTCAAAAAAGAGAAATTTACCTCAATGTACCCATCAATAGTAGCCACCCACTCCATAAGGGCAGCCCTGACCTGCTGGAGCCGGCGGTAGAGGTCTCTTTTCCACTCAGGGGTTGGTAAGATAAGGTGAGGCATGGCAAATTGTAGTTGGAAGATGGGATCTTGGATCAAAAAGATGTGATCTGATAGGTAAAGACCTGAGATTGGTGATTGATTGGGTCATCTGAGGGGCCCAGGGGACGCCCAAAAGGCCCTTTTATAATCAAGTTTTCATCCCCAGATCTCCATCTCTTCTGGGGGAAGAGAAAAAGCAAATCTCCATCTCCAAACCAAAAAGGTCACCGGAGAAGAGAGCCACTGACAGTTTCAGTGTCAAACAGCGTGTCAAATTTAATCCAGTCACTCACAACGCGTTTCATTCATCAGCTGAAGAAGCCCCGCTGCACGCGCCGCACCCGCAGCCGCACCCGCACCCAACAACCACAACTCACCTGACCCGCACGTCAAAAACGGACACCTTTTTCAATTAACTATAAGATATACTCTCACTCACTCGACTGCACAGATCTTCTCAGGGCAACCCAGCACAGCCACCCGGACTGTCGGACTTGCAGAGCTTGCGCCGTCGCCGTTCAACCCAGCTTCTCCCAACACCACCATTGCAGACATCATTGCCACGGAATTCAACACCAGACACATACAACCCCTCCGCCGGCCACAGCAGCCTTCCCAAGTGGCTGGACTTCGCCTCCCCACTCTCCTTTTCGCTTTTGACTTACTCTGGACTTGGCAATCAGCATGCAAAGGTATGTCATGGCTGTCCCGCGGGCATTCCTACACCCCATCGTCGGCATGGCCACGTTCCCCGAGCCTGCTCCATGTACCAGTGAGCTGGGAGTATGTTACAGAACAAGACTGACTCTTCCTTTGCCTCTAAATACCCACAGACAAAAACCCGGGCCCAACGGGGGCAAAGGGCTCGCCAGAATCAACTATCCTGCACGCTGGAAGCATGGAAAACACTACATTCCCGGTTGCATTGGCTGTCGGAAACACAGTTCCTCGAAGTTTCAGCGAATCTCAAAGGATGCTTACGTGACGCTGATGGAATATGGTTATTATCCAATGATGGGGGTTGGGGCATATGAGCCATATGCGTGCAAAGCGTGCGTTGAAAACTGGAGGAGGATGAGCTGGATGACGACGGCAAGTGGAGGAGCGCAGAGACAGAGAGCTGATGGATCTGGGGCAGCGGAGGGGGTGGATGATGATCTTTACGTGCGGGTGGACGATATGGACGTGGAGAACCCTTCTTTCGAGGTTATCCAGAACCCCGACGAGGAGTTGAGGCAGCCTTGTTTGCGGCAGCCTCCTCCCGTTGGGGGGGATGAGGAATATGGACGGAAGCTGATGCTCTTTGTGCAACGGCCGTACAAAGGGCAAGCATTGGAACCGGAGGCAGCAGAGGACGTGATCATGTATATGGATGCAGAATGTGATGGGCTTTTTGCTGCGACGGCAAAACAGCTGCAGAAGCCAGTGGAGCGCTTGCACATCCGTGACAAAGCGGCAATCATCTTCCTTATTTGCTACAAGGCAGCGCTGATTGATCCAAAGGTACGTCAGTCTTTTCCAGTATTATCCACACCATCCACACCGCTGACACTTACGCATTTATCATGTGCAGGTCTTGTTTGTTAAGGACTATTGGTCGCAACACCTCAACAAAGCCAACGTCTCGCATTTGTTGAAGAAGCTGTTCTCCCGCTTCAACCTTACCTATCACCCGTCAAAGGAAAAGGCGCGTCTGAATAAAACCATTGAGATGTCGTTTGCACAGCTGTCGCAGGACGTAAAGACCACAATGGGAACAATCGTCTTCAAGGTTGACGACTACAACTGGTTGCATTGTACCCCGCTGCCAGCTGCTGCAAACAGCAAACTGCGCACACAACGGCAATCATTGCTCTCAAAATTCACGGTGCAGTGCCGCCGCCTCCTTCGACCATCGCTGTGGGTTTCACTGACCATATCCTTGAGCATTGTCACGACTGGATGCGCTCTGCGTTGAAAACTTCAACGCTTTCCGATTCGCTGATTTATCAGATACGAGATGCGAGTCTCAAGCCGAGAGCACGATACTTTGAGATCCGACAGCATGTGGCAGCTAGCAAGCGGTACGTTGTATACAACACAATATTTGCTCTCCAATTCTAAAGCTGTTGTTGGTCTAGGATGTACAACTGGTCCGTTGCCACCAAAGCGGGTTCCCTGAAGGGCTTTCGCACTGTTGCCTCACTCGAGAACAACATGAAGAAGGAAACGGATATGAATCAGATCTTGGAGCGCATCGCTCATTTTGTGGAGACAACAGGGTATGATGGGAACGTGTTCCTTGTTGGTGACTTCTATGTCTGGAAGAATGCCATGAAATCGTATTATGCCGGCAATATCTTGGCAAACCGCATCATCATAATGCCCGACGCTCTGCACATTGCAGTGGATGCGCAGGAAGCCCTGATGCGGCATGCATTTGAGGTACGTGAGCTTGTCGCCTCCATTATCACGCTCTTTGCTCAACTGTTCTCCATGTAGGTGCTCCACCAGGTTTGGGAGCGTGGCTTTCCAAATGCCAAATGGTTGCCATTCAAGATGCGTCCGCAGCGTCGCGTTGCCATCCTTGTCTACATGCCGGATGCATGGGCACTCGCTCGTCCCACTGTGCAGGAGTGGGTTGACAATTGTTATGGACGACGCGCCCATACCATAAGCTTACCTACTGACAGCCGCCAATGTCAACCGCCAAATGTCAAACGCCAATGTCAATGTCAATGTCAGTGTCAATGTCAGTGTCAATGTCAATGTCAATGCCACTCTCCCTCTCTCCCCTCATTTCGCCAATCCTCCCGCAATATCGCCACTCCTCCTCTCTCCTCTCATTTCGCCAATCCCCCCTCGGCTTCTCCACACCCCCCACTACTTCCCCATAGCCAGCAGCTGTAGCAATGCTCTCTACGCTCGCCACGCACGCTCTAGGAGCATAGCTGGCGCCCCCCCAGTCCCCTCTTGTTGTTGTTGTTCTCTGATCTGCTGGGTTGCCTATCTATAAATAGCCGGCCTCTCTTCGTCCATTCCCTTCCTCCCCAGCAGATCAACACCAGTTCTTCTCATCTCCTGTTCTAGTCCTTGTTTCTTGTTTCGCCAATACAATCTCTTGTCGCCTATCACTCTCGCCCTGTCTTCTCTACTTTGCTTCCGCCTCCGTCGTCGAGATCATAACAGTTTGATCTGCTCCAACACTGCGAAGTTCAGAACCCGTCCAGCCCTGCACCCGACAAACCTTTTCGCCATGTCCCAACCCGAATCCATACCTTTCACCGCCAAGCAATGGAACGATATGTGCCAAGCGATCGCCGCCTTGCAAAGCCAAAACGCCAACTTGCAGGCCAACCTCGCGCAAGCCCAAGCCGACGCACAAGCTGCCCAGAGCATCGCCGCCCAGGTTCAAGCCGATACGTACACCCGTTTCCAAGTCACCAACCCTGCTCTGGAGCCAAGAATCAGCTCGCCCGAGAAGTTTGATGGTACCCGCAGCAAATTCCGTGGGTGGTTGAACAACATCCGGTTGATGTTTGCTCTCCAGCCCAACCGCTACCCCATGTTATGAATGGGCGGAGCCGATGGAAATAGAGGCGACTTGTGGTGCAGGTTGTTGACAGGTAATGGTATTCAGACCGAAACAAGAACTAGAACAAGACTAGGAAGAACTGGTGTTGATCTGCTGGGGGATCAGGAAGTGGGGAGCTCAGGGGAGGCGGCTATTTATGTTTTTCTGGGAAGGCTGGGGAAGCGTGGGGAAGCAGAAGGGTACGGAATGAGAGGGAAGCCAAGAGAAGCGCCAAGGGTGGGGGAAGCATAGAAACAGAAGACTGGGGATGGGGTGGCTACGCCGAGGCTGTGGGCGGGTACGTGGGGAAGTATGGAAACAGAAGACTGGGGATGGGGTGGCTACGCTGAGGCTGTGGGCGGGTACGTGGGGAAGTATGGAGAAGGGTTTGTAAGCGCCGAGTGTTGGGAGGTGTGGCTACGTGCGGCTGCGTGGAGAAATGAAGGCAGTGGCAGGTGTGGGGTAGCGCGGCTGCGTGCGGCTGCGAGGTTTGGCAGATGTCAGGTTTTGACAGGGAATTGACATTGACTGACTGTTGGGATGCTGTCATGAGGTAAGCGCATGGTATGGACGCGTCGTCCATAACATCACCCCCTCCTTTAGCCACGGCGTCCGGATGTTGTTTTGATGTTGGCAGGCTTTGGTCGGGGTTTGTCGGGGTACTTTTGGTGGAACTGGGCAACAAGCTCTTGACATCGGGCAAGGTGTTCCACTGGCTCCCATGTGTTCTCCGAGCTTGGCCAACCCTGCCACTTGATGAGGTACTTAAGGTGCGTGCGTCGAATACGGGAGTCAAGAATGTCTTCCACAATCCATTCCTCCTGTCCTTCGACTTCTTCTGGTGGGGTGGGTTCTGGCTCAGTTCGCTCCGGAATGGTGAAACGTGGTTCAAGAAGGGAGACATGGAAGACGTTGTGAATTTTGTAGGATGGGGGAAGCTTGAGGTGATATGTGACCGAGTTGATCTTCTCCGTGATTGTGAAGGGGCCAATCTTACGGTGATCAAGTTTCTGGGAAGGTCGGAGAGTCTTGAGATTCCGCTGTAAGAGCCAGACACTGTCCCCGGGTTTCATGTCTGGGCCAGGTGCCCTCTTAGCATCGGCAAAGCGCTTCATGCGTCCTTGGGCCTCCTTGAGCTCAGTGGCAAGCTGTTCATGGATTTCCTTGAGATGGTTGGCACGAGCTTCGGCTGCAGGATTAAGGGATTCGGTTGTGGTGGCGGAAGCCAGACTGAATCGAGGATGGAACCCATAGTTGGCATAGAAGGGGGTTGTCTGGGTGGCGGAGTGGATGGTGTTATTGTAAGAGAACTCAGCAGAAGACAAGAGTTCCTTCCAGTTATCTTGTTGATAGTTGCAAAAGCAGCGAAGGTATTGCTCAAGAATCTGATTGGTCCGCTCGGTTTGTCCATCGCTCTGGGGATGGAACGCCGATGAGAGGTTGACCTTGGTTCCCAGGAGAGCGAAGAGACGTTTCCAGAAGTGGGAGTTGAACTGTGGGCCACGGTCAGATACAATATCGTCGGGGAGTCCATGGAGCCGGATGACATGGTGCCAGATCAGATCTGCAGTTGACTCAGCGGTGGCAGTTTTCCTGCACGGTACAAAGTGCGCCATCTTGGTGAACCGGCAGATGACAACGAGCACAGAATCAACCCCATCACTGGCGGGTAGATCCGTGATGAAGTCCATGGAAATTGACCCCCAGGGGCGGTCAGGGACCTGCAGGGGTTGGAGGAGACCGTAGGGCTTGTGTCTGCTGGTCTTGGCTTGAGCACATACGTCGCAGGACCTGATGTAGGACTTGACAAAACGCCACTGGCTGGGCCACCAGTAGTTGCGTGAGATGAGCTCCAGGGTCTTTGACATGCCGTAGTGTCCTGCCAAACGCGTGTCATGCATGTCCCGGCAGATCTCAGCACGGAGCTTGTTGGTGGGGACGTAGACAAGGTTGTCGTACAGCAGAACCCCATTTTCCTCGGAGAATCGCTTTATCCGTTCTTGGTCTTCTTGAGATTGCTGGGCAATGGGGGCCCTAAGCTGTCGCCGGATGGTTTGCGCAAACACATCGGATGCCAGGGCAGCTTTGATTTGGTCAAGGAGTGAGGAGTCCAGTGGGGTCAGATAAGTGGCGGCCAGGCGGAGATGGTCAGGGGTGAGGATCGTGGTTTCCTGGGAGCGGAATGCTTCTTCCCCCTCCCTTAGCTCGTATTCAGAGCGACGAGAGAGGGCAGTCAGCTTGGTGTTGCTGGGTACCAGGGGCGGTATGTGATGACAAAGTCGAAATCAGCAAAGAAGATTGACCAGCGGGATTGGCGGCGGTTGAGGGTACGGGTAGTCATGAAGTACTGGAGGTTCTTGTGGTCACAGTAAACGATGACCTTGTGGCGGGCACCAATGAGGTGGTGTCGCCATTGAGCAAATGAGTCTTGGATAGCCAGGAGTTCCTTGTCGTAGATCTCATAGTTGATTTCCTCAGGAGTAAATTTGCGGGAGTGAAAGGCCACGGGGTGGAGTTGATCTGTGTCATCGGGTTGAAGGAGGACGGCGCCAAGGGCAAAGTCGGAGGCATCGGATTCGACAATGAAGGGCTTGTCAGGGTCGGGGTGAGTCAGGATAGGTGCGGAGGTGAAGGCTTTCTTGAGGGTTTCAAAAGCTAGGTGTGCAGCGTGGGTCCATTTGAATGGCAAGTCTTTGCGAGTGAGCGTGGTCAGGGGTGCAACGATCGCAGAGTACCCTTTGATGAATCGCCGGTAGAAGTTGGCAAAACCAAGGAAGCGCTGGATGCCTTTGACATTCGTCGGGGGTTCCCATTCGGTAATGGCAGCCGTCTTCTTTGGGTCCATGGAAATGCCTTGCTGGGAGATGATAAACCCCAGGAACTCAACAGAGTCACGGTTGAATTCGCATTTTTCCGGTTTCGCATACAGCCCGTGCTGGCGGAGTCGTGAGAGCACCTCTCGGACGTGGTTGGGGTGGTCTTCTGGGTTTTTTGAGAAGATCAGAATGTCGTCAAGGTAGACCACAACAAAAACGTCGAGAATGTCACGGAATATGTCGTTCATGAGGTGTTGGAATACTCCAGGGGCATTGGTGAGCCCAAACGGCATGACATTATACTCGAATAGGCCGTAGCGACATCGGAACGCTGTCTTCCATTCATCCCCTGGCCGGATCCGAAGAAGGTTGTAGGCTCCCCGGAGGTCAATCTTGGTGAGCCGGCGTGCCCCTCGAAGACGATCCATGATGCTGTTAATCAAGGGCAAGGGATAGCGATTCTTGATGGTGATATTGTTGAGTCCACGATAGTCGACGCACAGACGGAGGGAACCGTCCTTTTTCTTGACAAAGAGGACTGGGGCACCGGCGGGAGACTTGGAGTGCTTGATGAACCCCTTAGCTAGGTTCTCTTCAAGGTAGTCACAGAGTGCCTGCATTTCAGGCTCGCTGAGACTATAGATCGGGCCGAACGGTGGCTGTTTGCCCTCTTCTAAGTCGATGGGACAGTCGTAGGGTCGGTGCTCTGGGAGGGTATCCGCGTTCTTCTTGGCGAAGACGTCCGCAAAATCTTGGTATTCTTCAGGAATGATGGCCTTCGGATCTTTTGGAGGAGTGGTCGCCAGGGCTTGGGAATCTGACTTGGTCGGATTGGCGTAGGCAATGAATGCCTGGTCATGCCTTGCCGCCACACGGAAAGCTGGGGCGCTGATAAACGATACGTGGATCGGTGTGGGTGCTGGGTCCAGTGTGTTGGGTGTCTGGGCTAGGGAGACTGAAATCTCGTCTTGATGGATACGGATCAGAGGTTCAGGGGTTTTTGAGGGCTTCGGGCTAGGTTCTGTTGGCAGGGCATCCCAGGAGGCGTATTGTCCAAAACCGCAATGGCAGCGGACGCAAAGAGTGCGAGTCTTCCAGTGTAGCTCCACATC